CCAAGCGGTTTGTCACGCAAAAATCGTCATTGGAGTATAAAAAGAAAGAATAGACATAGAGGAAAAGACCTCGAATCAAACACGAACATGTAATTTTAATTTCTTAAATTAATTTTAATTAGCATTCTTTCAGTATTCGTGTGTTTACATCCCTTAGAGGCATTCTGTATAGTTTCAATTATAACTCTCATTAATAAAGCACTCATTTTTGGAACTTTGTCTCAAGAGGCTTGTCCTTTACACAATCGTCTGAATTTCTTTTTAATTGTTAGCGATTACCCGCGCGAAACAAAACTAATAAAGATTCAACCAGTAAAGACGTTTCTGGATATTCATCCAGTACACAACCTACAATTTCATTGCATAAACTTCATCGTACAGGTGTTTGAAAGAATTAACTATAAAAGTTACAGTGAAAATTGAGTGTTCTTCAAAAGAATGGCTGTTTGAATGTGTGAAAGTACAAGTTAAATAGAAAACCCAATTCAACTCCCCGACATAAGAAAATGACAGGAAGATGAACAAAGATCTTTATAAGTATATTATCCCCACGTTATAATCTATCTAAACCTCAAGTGTGACATCTCTAAAAGCCATAACCAAGATGCCATTCCTCGCACTGAATAATATTTGTAATCAAGGGGCCTTCTTCGTGTTTCCCACCAACAGCCCTGCCTGGCCATTGTCAAAGGCAATCCATTTGGTGAATTCTGTCGAGAATTGATGTTTACGTCTTCAATTCAGCTGTGGAATTGTCACACTTTCTACATCAAATAAAATAATCAGAGGAAAACCGAGAGTCGAGAGGGTTAGCAGCTTCAGCATCCGAGGCTCCTCGTAATGCTTTTGAGCTTGTCCAACACTACATGAGGATCAGCATAAGACCCACTGAGATATATGGGATGGTACTCCAGCCCTTTCCATCCAGCAATAAGTTCAAAATGAGGACGTCTGTATTCACTACTAATTATCTCTAAAATTACTGTTCCGGGTGTTGCAGAAACTATATGAGTTAGCCCTGCACCATGAGCACCGATAATGACTGAAGCATCTTGGATGGCTCGAACTTGTTCTTTCATGGACATGTGTGCAAACAGTCCATTGATTATATTTAATTTACAATCCAGATGCTTTGAAGCCCAGTTCTTGACAGAATCGAACACTTGTTGTTCATTGCTAAGTCTTGATTGTACTTTACCACCATGACGTGGATGAGCTAGATAATCCTCACGTCGTACAAAGAGGACATTATGACCAGAGATTGGCTTAGGGATGTGGTGTCTATCCAGTGGCAAATCAAAGGCTGCTCTTATCATCTCCCCAAACTCAGACAGTCGAGCAGTTTTCCGATCATCTGGATTTTGCCACAGATCATGTGCAGAAGCTCCGTGGCAGTTTATGCTTTCAGTTAGTCCCTTGAATAGAGCAGTTTCATATCCCAATGGGGAGAGGATTGCATGGCGGAAACAAACTGGACCACTAAAATTTTTAGCATAATTAAGGCTTGAGAACAATGCCCTCCACGTTTCTTCCAACTGAGTCTGAAAATACATACAAATGGAGAGAACATCAATGCGAGTGTCAAATGTGCTCAATGACTTCACAAGAATGGGCAAGCTTAATGCCTTGACTTCATGGGACTTAAAAGTTTTTTTTTTTTTTTTAATTTCTTGCAATAGATACAATTACTGAATATTTCAAGTGACACATAGATATGTGGATGCTTTTTACACAGTTTCTGAAGTGTTTTTATATATCTTGTTAAACTGGCAATAAGGTTCAAGACCTCATCATGGCCCCTCTTCCGACAAATTTAACAGCTTTGCCAAAACCAGAGTAAAGAAGCGACTTGATGAAAGAAAACCTTGCTTAATGCAATTTTGTCATCAAAAACACAAAAAGGGGTATTGATGTTCTTAGAGAGACTGATTTTTAGCATACTTAATCCTACACGTAGAAAGTAATCTTGCACTTAGTTTTTTACCTAGCCGATTGCCTAATAACTTTAAACGTCTCATGTTCTCCACTTACATTTGTTACTCTTCCAATTACACGTGAGACAATCAACAACTTGCAGAATCCCCTGATATTCATGATTTCTCATATAAACATCATTGTGTTATGTATACCACATCATGGCATGCAGATAAAGCTAACAGAAGGTATACCTCACAGTGGCCATCTACAAAAACCAAATGAGGTCGATTAGGCAAGCCAGTGACCCTAGAAGCAACATACGCACTATACCAGTCTGTCACCGTGTGAAACATGTTTGCATATTCATAACGTGTGACCAAAAGTGTTGGCTCTTCGATCCACTGAAACAAATTCAAAAGATACATTGTGCAAGCAAAAAACAAGAACAAAAAAACATTCCCTGAAAACCATAACAAGTACAAGTTAAACAAAGAATGAGGATAAATTTCTTGCTCACTTTTCTAAGATCCTAACAAAATAGGTCTTGTCATCACAAAAAAAAAAAGCTTCTTAGACTAACTTAATGCATTACATAGCACTTCCCCTAAGTTATGCTAGGACACTCCTATGAAACTAATAGGCTCAGTCAACGTACCTACATCCAATCACAAGCAGAAGCAAATCCACTATAACAGAGAATACTCATGAAGAATACAAAGCACAGGAGAAATTTTCCAAATAATAAACCAAAATATGTCATAAGAAAGCTCTTCATAAGAAGAATTGCTGCATAAAAATTTAACTTTGTAATGAAAAACTATGATCTGCATATGATCTAGTTGAGCTTATAACATCTATATAAAACAATAAAAAATATTCGTACAGAAAGCTCCATAGACTTGTCAAATTTCGCTATTTCTGCAAATGCTCTCAATCATCTTAACAATAAAATGAAGCTAAAAAGAGATGCAGACAAATTGCACATAAAAAGTAGAATTAGATAGTCATTTGCTTACCCACAAGAGTTTTTATAGAAAATCGATATAATTTGAATCTTTCAGATCAGATACCTTAAATCTACTACCATTCACCTCCAGATTTCAGGCATTTCTCTAACTTAGATGTAAACTTTAATTTCAACATATGACATAAATGGGAACTTAATTCATCTAACTAATCGAACACTTCCATCCAACGCAATATCTAATATTTCCGATCACTGAAAGCCACTTGGATGGAACTTATATTCATAACTCAAGCAAATAAAAGAGAAAAATCTGCTAATATCAGAACAACAATAATTCTTTCCTTTTTCAGTACTTCTAATCAAAATCTAATCCCCGTTTCATTAATTGCAACCACCTTCCCAACAAATCCAATCATTTAAACAGTTAATGAACACTAAACATAAAAGAATTAAAATCCCTAATAAATTTAAGCTCAAACAATAAATTCATACCCAAAAGATCACAATTTTTAACACGTCTAACATACCAAGAAAGATAAAAAAAAAATATATATATACATAGTCTAACCTCAGAGCAAGTGAATTCAGTGGCATCAGCTAACCGAATGGAATCGACCAATCCACGCATCGTGTGCCTATCAATAGCACCTTCTTGAACATAATTATTCAAGAATTTCTCGTCCACCAGCCGTTTCCCATTCCTCGATCTATCATTAACCTCAATTTCAAAAGCACCAGCTTCGAAATTCGGTAATTCTTCATCTTCTCCTCTCCCGATCACACTCTCCAAGTTCTCTCCCCCTTTTGACATTAGAATCCTCTCCGGAACCATCCGGATCCTTCCCCCCTCGCATATGGAGCTCCTCAAAGTCTCACTATAAAAACACCTGAACCACCCAGCACCACCGCCGGCGCCCAATTTTCGGTTAGTTTCCGAGATGGGTTTCAAGGGATCAACACGCTGGGTGAAGCCGTTGCCAAAATAGGCTTCGCAAGAACGAAAAGGAACATTGGGGTTTTGCGACCAGGGAAGGTAGGAAGGCAGTATGGGCCAGGGCTTGACGGAAAGCGGGAGGTTGTTAGAATAGTGATAAACCGGCGACTGATTGTGACGGTGGTGATCTGGGTGGGAAGAGAAGTAGAGGTAGAGAGATACAGAATTTAATGCGAAGAGAGAGAGCAAGATTTTCAGCTTTTTGCTGTTCATGTTCTGATTCTTGCTCTCTCTCTTTCTGCGAGAGAAACACTTCTAGGTTGGGGATGATTTATGATGATGTTAATGTGTGTGTACAGAGCTTAAACTTCAAGTCAACTTAACTGGGGGTTTAGTTTAGGGAAAAAATGTGAGTTGTTTTATTCATGAAAGTAGCCAATGAAAGATAGACACGTGGATAATAAGTAATTTATGCACCAAAAAAATTACTTTTTTCCGGAAGCAATTCTTATACCGTTACTTTTGAGTTTAAACAGATAAAAATTATTTATTTTAAAAGTATAAATTAAATTAAGGGAAATTGTAGTCAAGGCCCTGAATTTTTTCAAAAAGTGTAATTTGTCCCAAATGTTTTATTTTTGGTACTGTCATCTCAAATATTTGCAAAGATATGTAGCACGAGGCCCTTGAGACTGTAATCGTCTGAAAATTCATTAGTTAAGCATGTGAATTGAACTTTCCCACGTTTGAAGGGCAAAATTATCCATCCACAATTCTCACTTCAAAATATGTATTAACCAAAAATTTAAAAAAATTATCATCTTCCCCAACCAAACCTTCCACGGTTGGGTGGGGGTGGAATAGAAGTGCCTGTCTTTGGTGATGGTTAAGGATATCGTGGTGGCACGGAGTGGGTTCAGGTTTGCGGTAGAATGGGGCGGGGTGGAAATAATTTTTTTTTTCTTTCCTTCTTTTTTTTCTCCCTTTTTCTCTTATTTTAATTTAAGGTAGAGATGGAATATTTTCTTAGTAAAAATGGTTACTTAAAGGTCAATTTTTGCATATTTATTCAATTGATTAGGGCTATACAAAACCCTCGAACCAAATTGAACTAAACCGGATCGAGTGGTTCTTTTTAAATTAATTACTCGAAGGGGTATCTGATTCGACGACGAGTTCGATTCGGTTCGGTTCTCGATTTTAGACTAAGAACTGAATATTCATAAATTTTTTATCTTAAATAAATTAAATTATTTTATTTTTTAATTAATTAATTTAACCCTAAACTCAAAATATGATTTTTTTATTTCTAATTTTCAGCACGAGTCCAATTAATCAAATTAACCTAAATTTTACCAAAATCTCTTATTCTATCTTAATGTCTTTTCTGCCGTTACAGAGAAACCGAATTGGAAGTCTCTATTTACTATTGTGAGTTTGCTATCTTCTTGTTCTTGTAATTTTAACAATCAAATTTATAAAGGACTCCATAAAGAGAGGCGCAAAAAATATCACGAGATTGAATTACATTATTTTGTAAGAGCTAAAATTAAACATACCATTAGTTGAATTAATGTAGCGTTGCTACAAATATTAAAAAAATTAATTATTATACAGAACTCAATAACCAAATGGAACTGAATTTGAACCCAAACGGTTCCATAATTAAATTTGGATCCGACGATTCCACATACTAAATATCCTAAAATTCGAGTTCGGTTCAATTGTCCTTAGAACCTAATCGAATCGGACTATGTCCAGGCATACTAAATATCCTAAAATTCGAGTTCGATTCAATTGTCCTTAGAACCTAATCGAATCGGACTATGTCCAGGCATACAACTGACGGACTTTTCATAAATCTATGTCCAGGAATAGTGATGCCAAAAATAAAAAGTATAGGACTCTGTTGCACTTTATGAAAAGATTTGGGACTTCAATCGCAATTATCGCTTAACTTTATTTTAAACTAAGGGTCCGTTTAATTGATTTAAATTCCACGAAAAATGTCACATCGAGAAATTCAATTTTTATTTTAATTGTTTGATACGAAAGTGGAAATGAAGTTTCAATTCCAAAGTACAACCACTTTAAACTTTTTTTTTGTCAATTTCATGAAAAATACGAATCTATGGGGTATTTGAATTTTTATTTTCCAACTTATATGAAATTGGAAAGACTTTCTACATTTGACAATCAAAATGGCCCTTAAGGAGCGTTTGATTCTCATTATTGTAGAATGAGAATGAAAAATATAATAGTTATTGGACTCCACATATATAGATAGAAATTTAAAATTGATGGCTTGATATGATGGANNAAATTCAAAATTGATGGTTTGATGTGATGGATAACGGTCATATTTTTCATTTTTATGGATAAATAATGAGAAACAAACGGAAACTAAATGTTTTAGGAATATTTTTTAATATTGAACTTTAATAATTATGAGGGCATCCACATTACTTTTAACCCTTTAGGCATGCAGCACTCTACTTGAATAGTTGTGGAGGGCTATTCTTTAATAATTAATAGTGTGAATTAGAGCTAGCAGTTGGAAAATTAAGTCTACTTGAATAGTTGTGGAGGGCTATTCTTTAGCCAGGCAAGACTTTCAAATCAAAATTTTCAAGGGATATGCTACATGTACATAATTTGGGTTATCTAAGGGTGTCAACTCTCTCACACGGGATGAATCCCACATGAATAAAAAAAAACCTAAAGGTGTCCACCCTCTCACATGGGATGGACCCCACATGAATAAANATGTGAGAGGGTGGACACCCTTAGGTAACTCAAATTATGTACAAGTAGTATTTTCCAATTTTCAATACCGTGTAAAAAGACTAAATTTATGATAAAATTATATTTATAGTAAATTTTGATAAAAAGTTGATGGAATGTATGAATTAAAATTTATGAGTCTATAAAATATATTATTAAAACTAATTGTAAACTTTAATTTAGATTAAAATTTGAATTTGAATTTCTACCAAACATGAGCTAATAATAATAAAAGAATTTTCATACGAATCAATAAGCTACACAACTCGACGGTTTTGCTTCCGCACAGTTGAATGAAAAAAGGAAATTTAACAAAACTATAACCTAATACCCCCAAAAAACAGAGGATTCAGATTTCCAGTGTCTTGCTTTCTCAAATCCATTAGTGTAATTCTCAAAATCTTCTATTGTTCTATCAATTTCCTCTTGACTGTTCATCACAAATGGTCCAAATTGAACCACAGGTTCTCCCAAAGGCTCCCCTCCAACTAAGATAAACCTAAGGGATTTGGAGGACTTGTTCCATGCCTCGAGGCCATAGCCAGAGGATCCCAATAGAAGAAGATGATGGACTGTGGTCGGGGAGGATTGTGAATTTCCAAATATACCCTCACCTTCCAAAATGTATACAAATGAATTCCATGACAAAGGTATTGGTTGTCTAACTTGTGCCCCTGGCTTGAGAGTGAAATCCAAGTACATTGTGGGGGTCCTAGTGTATACTGGTGACCTAATTCCCAATGCCTCTCCGGCTATAACTCGAACGTTAACCCCATCTTTTGCAGCTTCTGCTACGTCTTTACTTCTTATTTCTTGATACCTTGGCTCAATCCTGTAGAAGAAAACAAACATAGCATCTATGGTAAGATACTAAGATGGATTGGACAATAGTGAAGGTAGGAAGTAAGTCAGAATCTTGTCAATATGCTCGAGTCACATCGAGTACTACATGCCAAACATTCCCATGTAGGTTCAAATGCTGGATACGCTTTCTCATCAAAGAAAAAGCAGAATCAGAAGTTTTAGGCAGGCTCAGTTTTTGGTATTTTAATGATCAGTAAATGGCTCCATACTTAATTATGTGCAAGGAATTGCCCTGTCGAGTAGTGAGACTAGGGCGACTTACATTTTATATTTAGAGGAGAGGTTAATCCACAATTGTAAACCCTTTTGAGTTCCACTGGGTGCAGGCATTTCTGAGTGAACTATTCCCCTCCCTGCAGTCATCCATTGCAAGTCACCAGTTTCTATTCTACCCTTGTGTCCCTCAAAATCTTCATGTGTCACTGCTCCCTGATTATAAGCAAAAACCAATCTGTTAATTAGGGTGATCAATCATTCAATATGTCACCTAGAAATAAACAATATGGATACCTGTAACATGTAGGTGACAGTTTCAAATCCTGCGAAAATGAAACAGAAATAATCAGTACTAATGCAAAGCCCTGAAGATCACTCGAGCGCATGTTTGATAAACAGTATCAAATATGTGACAAATGGTTCGAGATTAAACCTCTGTGGGGATGATCAGGAAATCCAGCAGGAGCAGAAACTGCAGTTTCACAAGAACAACAGATTTACTTATAAGCAAGAAACTTTATTGTCCATCATGACAAATAAAAAATCAAAGACGACCACCTGAGAATTCATCCAGAACTAGAAAGGGATCAAAATATTTCAGCTCGAATCTGAAAAAAGAATACAAACCCACAATTTGAAATGTAAATTCCTTCTCTGAATACAGTTTCTTGTACACATGTATTTAGTATTTAAAGATTTTTACCTTCCAATACTCCTTCTGACAGTAGCTCCAAAGCCTTCAGGTTGAGGCCTGGCCAGAAATTTTTTGACAACAGGACGAGACTCTTTGCTGCTAACACTGTACAGTTGTGTTTCTGGCATTGTCCCCTTTTTTATTTTCTTTAATAGCAGTAATTCGTTAAGTAATTGAAGTTGAAACTTCAAATTTTGATTGGTGACGAAATTTGGAAGTTTTTGCGTCTGCTTTATAGGGGAAGGGTTGGGGCGTGAGTGGAGAAAGTCGTTAGATGGAGGGTCAAAGGGGACAAAGTGGTAGCCAGGTCCGCGTAAGAGTTTCCTTGAGATTCAGGGATTTGTCTTTGTACGTCAGTATAACGTAATCATGATGTCATATCTTGGTCCATATGGCATATAACATTTTACCTAGAATAATTTGTTTCAAGGGAAAATGGATTTGAGCAAGGACTTCAAAGGTGTGTTTGAGCCACATTATTTTGGAAAAAATGTATTTTAAAATAGTAGATTGATAGAGAATGTGTGGTTAAAAAAGTAAGGAAAAGTTATTGATGTGATGAAATATATTATTTTATTGAAAAATGTATTGTTAAAAATGAGTAAAAGAATGAAAATGAAAATTTTAATATGACTCAAATAGGGGTTAAATAAAAAATCAAACTTACCAATTTCACCAAAAATTGAATGGGCAACGGTAAGAAAATGAGTAATAAACATCAAGAAATAAAAAATGTCAGAATAACGCCAAGTGAAATGGATGCAAAGTCGAGGTAAGAATTGAACTATTTATCCTTAATTGTCCTGTGACAATGTTTACGGATGATAGAAATCAACTTTCAAGATATAACGACAATCTTCTTGTATTAGTAGCACTTCAAAATACAAGAATCAACGAACCAAAAGTATGTTAATGTACTCATTTTGAATGAAATGGAAAAACGGCTTTTATGCAAAAGTTTGTCAAAAAAATATGAAATTTTATATTATGCTATGATTGCGTATTATTGGGATGATAAAATGGACGTCCAAAGAGTTTTATTTATAGAAGAGAAAATGTTGTGAGTGAAGTGTCACGTCCCAAAACTCAACAACATTTGCAGGGGTCGCAGCTTTTGTTGTCGCTAGCTTGTCCCCTTGCGTCGTTCGAGAATAAAAAACAGAGACTCTTTCACTCATTTGTCGCTCAATTGACAGCTTCATCGCTTGAGCGCTAGACGAGCGGCGGAGTTAGATAAATACCCAGCCAGTTTCCCCTCTTTTTCTTTCCAATTTTGAACCGTAATTTCTCATTAACTCGAAATTGGTTTGGAGATTTCAGATA